TCTCAACCTGTGGGTCGGGACCCCATTTGGGGTCGAACGACTATTTCATGGGGGTCGCCAAACAACGCAGTCCGCCATTCCCCCCCCCTTTCCTTAGCTGTGCTACTCCCTTTTATTCTATTGGCTTTTGAAAGCCAATAGAATAGACTCTGTTGAATAGAATCTAATTCTATTGGCTTTCAAAAGCCAATAGGAATTTTCCAGGCTGTCTCTGCCCTGCTGAGCCCGCCAAAAGTCCCATTCTGCAAATGGTGCTGCACCAGTTGAGTAGTCCTTGACTTACGACCGGTTGAATAGTCCTCGACTTACGACCGGTTGGGGGTCGCGGCATTAAAAAGGTTGAGAACCACTGCTCTAAAGGAAGAACAGAAATTCACCTGTACCAAATTTACTGAGAGTGTAAAAGTCTAATTTCTTAAGAAAATTTCAGTAGGATTCATTTTACTATGTGACACAAATGGCAGAAGGCATTGATTATATGTTAAAGACTTTGTTGACCTTCCTGCCAATACTCTGCTTCCTATGACTGTACTGTGACTTTAGCTCAGGAAGTATCCAATTTGTGAATTATGATTATGTGATGGATAGGTTTGTGTAGAGGTAATTATTGGGTTACAATGGCAATTGGGACCAGGGTTGTTGTCACTAAGTGATGCAGCCATAAAATGCAACATCACAGGTCCATATTGCTTATCAATCACAATCCCAAAACTCCTAACTGCTGTCATAACCCCAGGATGCACAGGTCATTAAGCAGGTATAGGGGGCAATACCAGGTAAGGCAGGCAGAAGTGCCATGAGAGGTGACAGGGCTGGGCCAATAGAGGTCACATGCAGGTGGGGGAAAGTGCTGAAGGTGGGAGAAAGAGTAGCAGAGTGACTCACCAAAGTGATTTGTGATCTCCCTTGCTGGCTTCCCTATGACTTAGAGAAGCCAATGAGAAAGTTGCAAATGATCATCATGTGAACACTGCTTGCTGAGATGGCTGGAACTTTGAGAACCAATCATTTGTCCATTTTTTCAGTGCCACTGTAACTTTAAACATTTGCTAATCGAATGTTCAGTGAAAGCTAAGGACTATCAGTAATGAACTTAACCATGGTTTTATTAAGGCCAGCTGACCAGATTTACCCCCAAGGGCAAGGATAGTTTCCTTTCCCAACATCTGACATGAGATAGGATTTAAGTCCATAAATAAATAAGGTAAAAATGAAAACAAAAGTTTGTTAGTAAATAGGTCTACTATTCTAGACCATTACCAGAAACATCCAGTTCAATGGTTCCCAATCTGTGGATTGAAATCCCAAACTTGATCAGTTCACCAGAAAAATAAAAACTGAAGCAAAAATGCACAAAAATGATATAGGCTTCACATTTTTCAAATGATTGTGAATTAAGCTACGATAGGTGATCTAGAAAGAATGGTTTAGTGGTGGTTAAGGTACCAGGCTAGAAACCAGGAGACTGAGTTCTAGACCTGCCTTAGGCATGAAGCCAACTGGGTGATATTGGGACAGTCACTGTGTCTCAGCTCTAAAACAGAGGTAATGGCAAACCATGTCTGAAAATGTTTTTGAGGAAACTGCACCAGACACCAGGAGTCAAAAACTTACTTGAAAGCGACAGGAAAAAAAAAAAAAAGTTCTATGTTGAAGCAATGAATCACTAAAACTGGCTAAGTTTAACATGCATCTTGAAATTAAACATACCAGGAAGGAAAAGATTCCTTGTCAATATAACTTAAGCAACAGCAATTTGATACACCAGTCAATTTGATATACCAGTTCCTTATTACATTGCTTGACAACCTGCAAAACAACATAACTACACACTACTGATGAAGATCTGGTGAAATAAGCAGCAGTAGAGGCATGTTCCCTGTGGAGGAAAATTTGTCAAAAAATATTGCAGTCTATGATAGCATTTGTACATGCATTTATAAAACTGAAAATTGTGACTCCCAAAACAAGTGAGACATTTATTCATTAGCTGCATAATAATTGAGAGCAGATTTCTAGAGAATTGAAATTCAGAAGATAAACTACGCTTATTCTCTATTGTCCCAGAGGATAGAGCCAAAACCAGGGGTTTAAATTACAAGAAAGTAGGTCCAGGCTACATGTCTTTCTATGAGTTGTCAGCAGTGAGTTCTCCCTTGCTGAAGATCTTCAGACAATGTCTCCAATTTTTACCCTAATTATGGCTTCCTACTTCACAAATAAGCTTCCTCTTGAAAAAGCTTTGCTCTGAGTTAAAAAAAAAAAGCAGCTCTTTTATCTTTTATAGTTAACTCTCAGGGTTGAACTATGCTGGATGCAATGCTGTTTACAGATCAACCCTAAATAAGAGTTCTTAAAAAAATTAATAGAAAATGTATGCAAACAAGAGAAAAACCATATATGGTCTTTATTGCATGGCACCCTGCCCTGGAACACCATCTCTCTAGAGGCGTGTAGGGAGATGCTCAATCATCCAGGTGATGGTTGTCTCAAAGGTGTCTTTTGGGAAAAGCACCTTTGGCACATCTCTCTGGAGATCAAACTGGCCTCAACTTGCTGGTCTTTCATAAGATCCTAAGGACTTGCTCAAAACATTTCTTGGCTCTTTTAATGGCTGCTTGGTGATTTTTCTCAGCTGCTACGTTTAATTTATTTGTTTTATTATAGTTAGTTGCCCAGAATAATATATTTGACATGGGCAGCCATATAAATTGATTAAATGATCAAAACAAACATGCAGCTATTGAGCATAAAACTGTTGCATCCCAAAATGACCAGGAACAGGATATATATGGAAAATGGTGGTGATGGGGAAAATTTCAGGAACCTCCAAAGCATGAGCTTTCCTTAATTTCTAAAAACTGCAGAAACAGCACCTTAATATTTTGATTATAGTCAATCTGGAAGCAACAATAGGCCTATTTGTTGGCCACATAAAATCCCTGGGCTATATTTTTCCATTCCATGGTCTTCAATGATTTCTCTTCCCCCCCAAAAAAACAAATAAAAAAACAAAGAAATGCCTTCAACTGCCTTCAACAAGCCCACCTGCCAAATCCCAATGATCTATTGTCTTTCTTTTCTTCAATTGTGCAGGAAAATATTTTGAAAGAATATTTTATTTGAGCACTTAGATTCTTATTAAGGCTCAGAAACCATGTCTTGTTTTGTTTCCTTTAAGAATTGTTGGCCTTCTTACTCTTCACTGTTCATAGACCTTGAAAGTAGCTGACCCAGGCATTTGAGATAAGGTGTACTTCTCAAGGATTGCTTTTCATTAGATAAATGTATTCTGTAAAAACTTAAAGAGACCCTGTTATGGGAGGACCAAAGTTCCTTATATGGGATATGCAATGATGGAATTGGGTGAATGGGTAAGAGGATGGTATTGAGAAGGAGGGACTGATTGCAATGTATAAAACCTGTATTGGTAGGAAGACATCTTTGCAGCTGCTCTCCCAACAGTTTGCTGTCGGTACTCTTGGAGAAGACCAAGAACTTAACTTCAGATAGCTGCCTGCCTTTTTTTTCTTCTTCTTCTTAGAAACTCAATCTGGCTGAGGACAAGCTGGGTAAGGAAAAAACTATTTCAACATTATTGGTGAGCCAGCTAGTAACCTGAGCTCACTTGGAAGACTGAGTTCCAGGATAGCCACACCCTGCCATTTGCCCAAAGGGTGTCTTTCTGGTAACTTGACCTGGTAGGTAGTAAAGGGAATTTATGAATTTGAGATAGTTGCCCAAATTAAGTCATTTCATGGTTGGTAAATATCTGATTTTTTTTTAATACCCAGTGAATGTGTGTGCGTGATACCCTTCGTTGATAAAACCCGCCTATTGACCAAAGCTGTGTGTCTGCTGGTTTCAGCCGCCCTCAGGCCTCCGCGAACCTTGTTGGTGATGACCAGAGTGCCCTGAATAGCAAGGGAAGCCAGTGAGATCCGCGTGCTTCAATAGGGCAATGAAAGGTTGTGTGATTGAACCATAACTGGGCAGATTATGTCTCTACATGCTAAAGGAGAGAGCCCAGAAAAATGGATTCTCATGGAGGGCCAGTAATTGGTTAGGAAGTCTTCAGGTGGACTCAAAACCTAGTGAACTCAAAGACAGAATTAAGATAGGAAATTAAGGTCCTTCCAACTTTTCCTTTGGGGAAGGGTTTATTGGCTTGGGATCAATTGTAAGAACTTAATTTTTAATTTCATGCAGCTGTCTTTTTTTCTTAACTCAGCTCAGGACAAGCGGGTAAGGAATAAAATATTCCAGCAACAGCGATCCAGGTAAGCTTACAGAAAGAATAGTTTATATAGTCACCCATCTGACTAAAATTTTGGGCAATGATGTCTTGTAAGAATTCGTATAATATATAATTGTTATATCTAGTTTGGTATTTGAGATTGTTCTCATTCACTGAATTTTAGAGAGCTGTCTTTAAATTATTAGCGTCTCTTTCCAAGAAGTACCTGCATTTATATACGCAACCCACAGCATCTTTCTGGCCCGCTCCGAAGGGACTTTATTGCCCGCTCCGAAGCAAAATAAAGTCCCTTTGGAGCACTTGGCATAACTTAAGAATTTTTTTTTTAACAACTCCCCTGTCGGATGGTGTTGATGAAATTTAAAGGAAAACGCGTTATTTAAGACCTAAGCCAATGGTAGACCTGGTGGACCTAAAACGGACTTCGAGCCCTCGGGAGGTCTCGCTTTCCCTGGGAGCGGACCTCTCGCCAGCGCTCCCCCACCCCACCCCACCCCACCCCCGTGGCTGGAGTCGCCTGGATGTCCACGGGCCCGGCAGTCTCCGCCTTGAGCCCCGTCACGTGTGCTTTCGCCCCGGTGGAACCAGGCGCTCTCCGCAGCCCACCCGACTGACTCCACCCCGGGCACCGCCCCCTTATCCACCGTCTTCATTTCAAGCCTGCGCCCGGCGGTAGGTAGATCGATATTGCAGCTTTATTTGGGGAAGTGGGGGGAGGGATGCTGGAAGCGACGCGGCCAAGAATTGGTCTTTCTCCCGCTTCTTGTTTCAACTCCCTCAGCGAGAGTAGGAGGAGAACACGCCAGAGAGCGCGCTTTTCAATCGGCTGCGATTGGAGCGCCTAGCTCTCGCGAAGCTTCTATCTGAACCCAGAAAAGTTAGCCCGTTTCAATTTTCTCAAGAGTAGGGGAATGGTTGCTCACCCATCACCCTTTCTCGGGTCGTCTTCTGAGAAGAAATAGTACTTTGGAGAAAGTTTGTTCAGGATCGCCAATTCGCGTCCACGGAATAAATTTGCGTTTCATAACGCAGGAGGGGGGGGGTCTTCTTGTAGAGAATTTGTATCCTTGCATAAAGAAACAGTAGTTACATACTTGCTAGATGTGTACAGTTATAAAACTGGGATAGGCAACCTGGTTCCAATCAAGCATTTTCGCATTACAGATACTGTAACTGCAAAGGTGGTCAGATAAAGCTGTGACTCTATTCTTTTTAGCTTAAGGAAACAGTATCTTGACTATGCAAAAAGTTGCGTTCTTAGATACGCCAGTCTTTAATTTAATTGTTTCTAATCGGGGGAACTCTTCAGGTGTTTGAATGCTCCAGGAACTCAGCTAAAGTTAAGCTATCATTGAAATTCAAGCTAAAAATTAGAAGGCAAATTAGTTGAGAAACATTACTCTAAGCATTAGCAGGGATTGAAGGAACTATTAATGAAACATATCAAAAGGATATCAGGTTGCCTATTAGTGGCTGAATAATAAAGTTTATTGAATATCTTCTGGCCTTATATAAGAAATTCTGAATATTTGAACAAAAACTATTGAAAGGAACCTGCAAGTTTGGGCAACTTGGCTGTGTTTACTGATTTTTGCTGTTTCTTCTCCCTTCTATTTTTATTTTATTTTTTTGCCTGCTTAGGATCCAGCTTTTCCTTCTGAAAAGAAAAACCTGGGATTGCATTTGGCTCTTGGCCAAACTGATGAAAAGGGTAATTTTATTCATTTCCCTAATTTATCTGGAAAGAAAATTGGGATTCCTTTTGTGTGGCTGCTGTTCTTGATAGCTGAATGCTACTTAATGCAGTTATTAGAGAACAACAGTAGAAGAGGATCATTGCCATCATGTCCTTAGGGGTTTCTAAGATAGAGCTTCATGGATTGACTGTATGATACAGATGGGGATTTCACATGGCATTGCAAGGGTCTTCTACTTAATGGAAGGCTGGGCAGAGAAGGATGGTGAATAGACCTTAGTTCTCTGGATGTGATGCCACTGATCTCATGCCCTAAATTAAGACAGATGTCCAACCTAATAATTGAAAGACTGTGACTTGGACAAGTGTGTCAAATGGATAGATTCTTATCTTAAACTATAGTTAGTTTAAAACACTCATGGGGAGAAGAGAGGGGGTTCAACTGTTGGTTTAAAAGCCTGTAGTCAATTAGCCATTGTGCCCAAATTGCTAAAATGGAATAGGAAAAATAAACTTTAGTAAGCAGATGGAAGAAAAGAGTGCTTGTAGTAAGAACACTTTCTTTTATGGAGAACATAATGCACCATTATTATGTTCTCTATAAAAGTTGTTAACTATACACCTGGTATGTATTGAATAGTTCATATTTAAATTGAAGTATTTGGCTGTACTGAAACTCCTGAATATGATTCTTAAAATCAGAACAAAATAGGGAGGCTGGACTGCAATATGTTTGGGAATTTCACTATTATCCTTACTATCCATTACACAGAAGGTGAAAATGTACTTCCCTGGAGAATGCACCTTCCTTTAATAATTAATTACAACTCTGTAATGAGTTTTCTAGTGCAAATGCAAAGACAAAATTAGTTCAGCATATAATGATCATAGCAGTTGCTAGCTCAACTATACAATAAGGTAAAAATTAATAGGCTTATTCTTAGAAGCCAATTATTCATTGCAGCTAGATTTCATAGCTCTTCATGTACACTTTCTGTTAAATTGTTAAAACCTATAAAGCTTCATAGAGAAAAACTTCTAACAATATTGAAAGAGGACTGAGAATAGTATAGAACAGGGGTAGGCAACCTTGGCTCTTTTATGACTCGTGGACTTCAACTCCCAGAATTCCTGAGCCAGCTGGGAGTTGAAGTTCACAAGTCATAAAAGAGCCAAGGTTGCTTACCCCTGATATCGAACAATTTTGGCTTATAGAGAAAAGCTCTTTTTCACTAATAGAGCACATGATTCAATTCCTGCTATTTTTAGTTAGGCAGAGAAGATTTGTGATCTGAAATTCCAGAGAGCTGTGGCCAGTGTGGACAATATTAAGTTCAGAGGATCATTACACTGATTCTCTCAAAAGAAGTTTCTTCTGTCTTTTCCATGGGATACTTCTGTTCAATGTATTCCACCAAATAGCACTTTTGTGACTGAGCATGCTGAACTCTGTGGGTTTATTTTTTTTAGGAATTATATATATAATGCTATTTTTTTCTCTGACATCTTCAAACTATTCTGATAATGTTGTATGTTTTGATAATTATGTTCATTGTTTTGGCTACGTACCTGTTAGTCCTGGAGAAAATGAAATGGCTGTCACAGCAGATAGATAATGACCTGGACTGGAATGCCACTAAATTGTTGCTCAGTTCAACAATGCTTGTCAACTTATCCTTACAGCTCTGTGCAACAACTGGTATATTTATTTCACTAAGATACCTTACTATGTAGTGTTGTTCCTTAATTGTCTTATAATAAGTTCTATTTTGGCTGAAGGGATTGTCCATTTTTGGGTAGATTTGGGCTTAACAATAATGTATGTTGGTTTTAAATGTAAGAATATTCTATGTGCTAGATTACAATTGACTCTCATTTGTCTTTTATATTTATTTCCCTATCTTCAGACAATTAATAACTATTTGCTACTTATATGTGCACAGTTTCCATATCTGTTATTTTTGAATTCTGTTTCTTTATTACTTAGTCTACTTTGCAACCTGAATCAACCTGCCTAGCATCTCCTCTCCACTGATTTATTAGTTTTTCTGAGTGTAACTTAAGGAGTAGAACTGAGTAGAAAATTAGCAATATAGTAACATTCATAGTACAAAATGATTATTTTTTGCAAGCTGACTATTTTATATTTTTTAATGAACTGGACAGATAATGGATTTGGCTGACATATTTAATGCCCCAAGTGATGAAGAAGATTTTCTTGGTTTTGAACTTGACATTCCCATTGAAACATTGTCATTGGAAGACAGGAATGAGAATGTTGATTTGCCTGGAACATCAGGAATGGTAGGGGAAAAATTTGTACCAAATTATGCAGAGTTTTCATCCAGTAAATAAAATTCCTTGTAACTCTCATTACCTAAATTGCAACTTGATTTTTCTTGTAGAATTGCTTTCTAAAATGCAGTAGAATCAAATGAAAAAAACTGACAGTGAATTTTTCTTCTTTTCCTAGCTGTAGGTTCTATTTCTATTTCTCTATGGAGTGTTCTTCCAATAAATATGCAGTTGCATTTTATTGCGTCATCCAATACTTGTTACTAATAGTGTTTAATTAGGCTTAGTGTTGTGTATGATTATGGATTTAAAGATAACTGTTGTAATTTCTGCAGTGCATTTTTTGTTAAAGTATTTCAAACAAATGAATGTTTGAATTAATTGATTAGTTAGATGTAACAGTAAGCTGGTTCTTGTTTGGATCTATAAATGAAAAATTTTTACTACAATATTTTCTGCTGTCTAATGTAGATTCTGGCAATCTGTCTTTTGCTTCTTTTCTGTGTACCAATCCAACCTGAACAATTCATATGAAATTACTGATTAAAAATGAGATAATTATGAATATTTAAGTAAAAATAAGATATTTTTAAAAGATACCTTTTAATACGGTTGGTGTAGCTAAGGGAAATAAAATATTAGCTTTTTTCATAATGGAAGAGCAACTATAACATAGGTTTATTTATTCATCTTTTTTTAGGCAATGGAATTAGAACCAGACAACAACCCATCTTTAATGGAGGAAGATAAAGAAAAGGAAGAAGAAATGGAAATTGAATCATCTCATAAGAAAAAAAGCTTCAAAATTCAAGGGGCATTGCAGCTTCCTAACAAATCAGCTGAAAAGACTTCACCCAAGTTCTGTTCATCAAACAGTAATCAAACAAAAAATACAAATGGGAGAAATGAAGATCAAGATACTTCTTCTGACTCTGAGATAGATGAGGCACCAGATGAAAATTCTAATGTACTTTTGAAAAGAGATCAGAATATAAAAGAAAATAAAGCTGTGGTAAGAACTAATTCAGTATTTTTTGGTAGCATTAATAGTAAAAAAAACACAAAGAAATGAGAAATTGTGACATATGTAATTCTAATTGCCTCTTTTTGTTTTATCAAACATATTTTTTTGTATTTAACTCAGGTAAATTAATTGGATTTTAGTAAGGGATTCAAGGATGGACTACCCATTACTGTATTAGTAGGAACAAACCATTTTCAAACCTAACTTACATATTACTGTACCGTAAATGCCAGCGTACAAGGCAACCCGGCGTATAAGACGACCCGCGTCTTTATAGCCGGGCCGCATTCCTAGAATGTCGTCTTATACGCCGGAAACTACCAGTATTTCCGGCGTATAAGGCGACTCGGCGTATAAGACGACCCCCATCTTTGGCGCCGATTTCAGCGCTCGCAGAAGTCGCCTTATACGCCGGCATTTATGGTAGTTCAGACTCATTATTTTGTTTGGGTTTGAATTCCATATTACCTATAGATTTGTTCTTATGGTTGCACTCAACACTATATCACATACTATTCCTCTGAATGCTGGAAGGTTAATATGACAAAAAAAATGATGCCTAAAGTTTTTCAATGAAGTTCTGCTTATAAGTTCCAAGTATTTTCCTTGAATTTCATACCTGCAGTAGATAAGACTGATGCCAAGATTTGTTGGGCCATCTGCCTTCATACTGCCTTTCCTCCTCACTCACTGGGTGAAGGACTGAAATAGTTACGTTTGCTCATGCTTATAATGGCATATAATCATATATTGCTATTTAGTACATTTTAAACTATTGTGCCAGCATGAAAAGCATAGTATGCTTTGAATTTGTTGTCCTTCCCTTTGAAATGAATGACAAAGCCTGCTAGTATGGCATAAATACATAAAGTAATTGTTTCCATAACTTTGAAAATATGAATAAGTTTATTATTAACTCCAAACTTTCACTATAATATTTTGAACAGTGAAACTAATAGTGCAATTTTAAACTATGTGATACATGATTAAAATTATTCTAAAAATGTAAGGATTTATATTTTTAAAAATGCATCATGAAATAGTATATAGATAAGATTGCCATTAAGAAGTATTTGATTTATAGAGCAAATCAATACCATTTCCCATTTCAGCTTGCTCAGTTACTAGCAGAACTAGATTCTATACCTCCCTCAATCCAAATGAAGACTTCTTCCTCAGCTCCGGTAATTATGAATATATTTTCTTTTTCAAAATTTTCTTTTGCATTTCTAAAACTGACTATAATATCACTAATTTTTGCAGGCTTTTTTTAAAAAAATATTTTTTATTTGGACCAAGCATAAATACAATAAAGTCATAAAATTGTGACTTTTCTTTTCAGTCAGACATGACTCAGAAAGGATCATCTGTCTACACTTGCATTTGCAGAATTTTTTTTCTAGTATGTTGATTTTTTTCAGACTCAAAAGTTTTCATAATTTATATATACTCTATTTAGGAAGATAACAGACTAACTGAAGGAACCAAGATTAGTTTTTCACAATTTTGTGCACCTCTTTCACCAATTCAGTAACTATTTACCTAATGCTGTATCCCTTAGATCAGATATGTATCCCTTAGACCAGATATGGAGGCTAAAACATATAAGGAACGGTTGCTAGAATTGGGTATGTCTAGTTTAACGAAGAGAAGGACAAGGGGGGACATGATAGCAGTATTCCAATATCTCAGGGGCTGCCATAAAGAAGAGGGAATTAAGCTATTTTCCAAAGCACCTGAAGGCAGGACAAGAAGCAACGGGTGAAAACTAATCAAGGAGAGAAGCAACCTAGAACTAAGGAGAAACTTCCTGACAGTGAGAACAATTAATCAGTGGAACAGCTTGCCTCCAGAAGCAGTAAATGCTCCAACACTGGAAGTTTTTAAGAAGAGACTGGACAGCCATTTGTCCAAAATGGTGTAGGGTTTCCTGCCTGAGCAGGGGGTTGGACTAGATGACCTCCAAGGTCCCTTCCAACTTTACTACTATTACTATTACTATTACAAGGCCCGGGGGCTGGATGTGGCACGTGAAGTGGTTTCATGTGGCCCACAAAGCCATTCTGGAAACAGTGAGGGAACAGCCAGGAGCCAATGTATAATTTTGTGGTGGGCATCTATGCTGAAACGCATTCAGTCTTAGCTCCATAAGGCCCCCCCCCTGCATGGCCTGAGAGGAACAGTGAGGCTCCTCCAGTGGACCATGCCTTGGCACTTGCCCCGGTCCCACCCCCTTCTGCCAGAGACCCTCAGATCTATCCCACTCCTGCCCAGGCCCCCACAGGCACCCTTGATATGAACAATGTAGAGCTGGCCACACCCACTCAGTAGGCCACATCCACTCCATCCACACCCACCCAGTAGGCCGCACCCACCCTGACCACACCCACCTGGGCCCCTGAAGGCAACCGCAATGCTGATGCGGCCCTCAATGAAATTGAGTTTGACACCCCTGCCTTAGACAGTATTCTTTTGATGTGGATATATTGTAGCCTGTGCACTGTAGCCCCAATACACATAGATAAGTAATTTATAGAATGTTGTAGTTGCATAATAGTAACAATAGTTAACCTAAATACAGCAAAACAAAGAAAATGGTAGGTCTCTTTTTCATGTTCCTTCAGATATTTTCTCTCTTAGAACAAAGAATTCTGAAATTAATTATTTTTGTCTCCAACCTTTTTTCTAGTTTTGTTCAAATATATATCTGTTCTTGTTACATACTCTCCTAAAATGTATAGCGATTGGCAGTGTGCCATAAAAGGCAAATTTAAAAAAAGAATTTGAAGTGGATTGAACAAGGTGGCTATGGTCAGCTATTTCTTCAGGCTATGTGTTCATAAAGAAAATCTCTCTCTTGTTTTAGAAACGAAAGAAAAAACCAAGGAAAATATCTTCAGGAGGCCCAATACAGCGTCGAACTAATCCAACCAGGAGTGCTCGTCCCCCAGAAAACTTTGGTGTGGAGAGAAGCCCATCTGTGGAATACCTTGATAATGAAACCTACCACAACTTGTTGAAGAGAAAATTAAATGGGGTACACGCCAAAATTATGTTTTGGATTTATTTTAACAAAGGGTAATTTGCAGGTAGCAAGGATAGAACTTATCAAGCATGAGCTCAACATTTAAGTGAATAGTGTAGGGTCTATCATGATCCTGGTAATGAGTGGCCAGTCTTGTGGTTTATAGTCGATTGATTGCTGGGTTTACAAGTTGTTCCAATCACAATATTCTTTGATTGTAATTTGGATTAAACTGATAAGCTGGACGAACCATTTGAAGGTTACGGATAGTCCAAAATATACTGGGGAAGACACTTCGTCTATTCTGATCCAGGAGCAATTTCACTAAATTGCCTCTGGAAATTTGAATATGCTACTTCCAGATTTTTCTACATTGAAAAATGCTAACCATGTCAGGATTTAAATAGTATAATGGTATAAAAGGAAACAGAATGAAGTTTTGGATTTGGTTGGAGAACAATCCATAAAAAGCATGAAGTACAAACGAATTGCACTTAACTCTTCCATTTACCATTTCATAAGTTCTATCCTTTCTTAGTCATGAAAGCAAGTTGGATGACTTTGGGCCAGTGATTCCACCCACCTCAAAGGGTTATTGTTGGGAAAATAGGACGAGGAAAATTAGGAATGTTAACTGCCTTGAGCTATTTTTAAAAATAATAAAGGTGGGATATAAAATAAAAAAATATGTTTTGCAATATTTTCTCATCTTTTGTGCTATCGTTAAATGGTAGTATACAGTCAATTAGTGGGGGAGAATTACATTTTCAGAAAAATAAGTCAAGGAAGAAAACAGGGAGAATATAAAAAGAATAAATGTATAGTAAATTAATAAAATCTAAACTTACTCTGTAGTTCAAGAAATAATTTATAATTAAACATAATGTATAATTTATTGCACTAGATAATTTTTTTTAAAATTGTCTTACTCTTAAGGCAAACATAAACATTACATTTTCAAAAATATAAATATTTTAGTGGGTAATCTTATACACCTATTTAGGCTGCAAGTCCACTTGAAAACGGAGTTTGTAGCTGCATTTGATTTAGAGATGGTGATTTTTTTTTTATAGCATATTTTAGGAATGCCAAAAAAAAGAAAATTATCAAGAATTGCAGCACTTCGATCAATTGTTATAACAAATGAAGACTTGGCAAATATTGCATTTACCAATAAAGATAAAATCCACCATAAGATTTTGGTAGGTTGTTTTTTTTTTATATATTGACATATATTGAATGAATGCAATATTTTAGATCTAATCAGTTTTTTACCCTCTTTATACACACAATGTTCTTGACATATCTTTACATTTATATAATGATCCAGCTGCCACAGTATTATTTACACTGGTTGAATCACCTTTCCATGAACAGGGTTAATCTTCCCTACTGTCATAGTGTATTGTGAAGTATTTAATATTTTAATTACAGTCTATAATTATACTGACATTTCCTAGAACACAGACAAAATAACTACCAATAAGTAAAATAACTACCAATGTTATTTATCTTGTCAAGGTATTAGCAGCAATGCTTGCCCAAAAAAGAAGTAAATACTTAAGAAAATAAAAAAAATAGAATTTTGGAATTGCTTATAATGTTAATTTTTGCATAATTATTATCTCTTCAGAATGAAATGACTGAGCATTATATTAAGCTTGGGCTGGTGTTAATGTTGCTCTCTTGTAAAACCTGAAATATTGCTACAGTTTTGTAGAACGAATACAGTGAACAGGCTTTTAAAATTCCATTTATAAATTGGTTTCCAATTCCAGTTCAATGTATTATCTAATTCATCTTGCCTTATTTGAAACATGCATTTGTATTGGGAGTTGTGAAAAAATATTCCAGCGACAAAAATGTGTAATTATCTGTGTTCTTCGATAATTTGTTAATTTTTTTATCAGAATAATAGGAATAGGTTTATAAAAAGCACCATGTTTATCTTCGTATGTATTGGATGTGGCTTTCTAAAAATATTATCATTTGTCCCAATATTAGGGAACCACATGCCATCAGTGTCGCCAAAAGACAATGGATACAAAAACAATTTGTCATAATGAAGACTGTGTCGGTGTGCGGGGACAGTTCTGTGGGCCATGTCTCCGTAATCGCTATGGAGAAGATGTGAAAGTGGCACTTCTGAATCCAGTAATTCTCTAGTTGCTTGAATTGTGGGCTATATAATGAAATGGGAGTTACAGTGAAATTATTGGTGATCTGATTGCTTTATTTTTATTATGCATTTCTTCAGAAGTATGCAACATTGTGTCTATGCAGGCACTAGCTTTGTGATTTCTATGCTTATGTGATAATACAACCTATAAGGTGAACTAATACTCTTCTCCAATTTTTAAGGAATGGTTGTGCCCTCCTTGCCGTGGAGTATGCAATTGCAGCTACTGTCGGAAACGTGATGGTTACTGTGCCACGGGAACACTTATCCACTTGGCAAAGCTTTATGGCTATAGCAATGTAAGGGAGTACCTTGAAAGGTAAGCTTATACCTAAACATTTGTAGGGTAGTTTGTATCAGAAGTACCGTATATGCCGGCGTATAAGACGACTTCCGGAAGCGCTAAACTCGGCACCAAAGACGGGGGTCGTCTTATATGCCGAGTCGTCTTATACGCCGGAAATACTGGTAGTTTCCGGCGTATAAGACGACATTCTAGGAATGCGGCTCGGCGACAAAGACGGGGGTTGTCTTATACGCCGGGTCGCCTAATACGCCAGCATATACGGTATTTCCAATATTGTCAGTTTTAAGAAATCACTGTATATAATAGTCTAATTTGCTATGTTTATTTTACTTTTATTTATTTAGATTTATATCTTTTTTTCAGGGTGGCATATCTATTGCTCCTCTTGTTTTTCCTATCTTTTGGGGTAGGTTGACTCAGAGAGTGAATTTGAGTTATAAATTTTTCACAAAACCTGCAGACATGCTGTTCCACAAGTATTTATTTTATTTATTTGAGCTAATAATTACTTTATGTGCTTGTTGGAATATTTATATTCCTTACTTGCTCCATTCTGAGCTGAGATGAAAAAAAACCCACCAGGCAGCTGCATGAAATTAAGTTTTTTATGAGGGGTCCTTGGTGCTAATCTTTATCCAAGAGCAGTGATAGCAAGTGGTTAGGTGGGTGGTGGCAAAGACCACCTTCTTCTAGCATGGGTACAATCATGCATGACAATCAGTTTCTCCTTTACAATATCCCACCCCCTTACCCATTCACCCAATTCCAATTTCACATCATTCCCTATAAGAAAGTTTTTTCTTCCCACGCCAGGGTCTCTTAAATTTTCTGAGAATATATTTGTCTAATAAGACTTATTTGCTTGGATAAGTTACTTTTAAAGCCTATGAAGAGTAAGACGTTCAATAAACTTTAAAGAGAGATATGGGCTCTGAGTCTTAATAAGAGTATAATGCTAAAATAAAATATTCCTTCTAAATATTCTAACAACCTGTCCAATATTTTTGTAAAAAATAAGAGACTTTTAATTTTGAAAAATAATTTTATGAGTGCATTTAATGATTTTGCTTTTTTCTTATAAAGACCATGACTTACTATTTATAGTAGAAGCTGGAATAATACAATTGGTGGCATTATAGCTCTTTGAAATAGAGTTTATAATAGTTACATTTGCTTTCTTAAACTCTAAACATTTTGTTTTTTCTTCTTTATGCAGTTTGCCAATGCATCATGTTAATGGAAATCAGTGAAAATACTCAAGACACCTGTGTGAATTCTGATCTTGGTGATTTATGCATATACTATACTTACTTAAAAATTTAAATCTTGAACTTTCATTTATAATCATTATGTTTAAATAATTTCAGAAATGTAGAATAACCACTTTTGATTTATTAAATATTTCTAAGGGAAAAGGCTGTTAATATTGGGAACAGCAATATTTTCCTGCACATAATAAATGATCTACTGTTTAAAAATGTTTTTCTTTAGAGACTTAGTTTAGAAATATGATTCTAAAATATTTAGAAATAGTAATAGTAAAATATTTAGTAATAATAATAGTAAAATATTTAGTAATAGTAATAGAAAATTTATAAATAGTAAATTGACCTTTGTAATTTAAGTCAGATCTTTAAACTTCTGAAGACAAACAATCCAAATCACTGTTTGTTCTACTTTATATGCAGAAAAATGCTATAAAGGTCAATATTGTTTAAAATTAGTAAGGGCATAATTCAGCCCAGTTCTGAAACGGTTATAAAAGTCCAGGAAAAGACATGGCTGCTCTAATGATAAAAAAAAGGTGCTTCTTAATGGCCATTTTGTTTTTCAAGGACCAGCCTGGTCCTAAACATATATTTGTTGAAATTTGTCATTCAGTTCTGTTGGATTTAAAGTTGCTTTATGGCCAGGAGCTTCACAGGATAAACAGCAAGAAGAAAATTATATAAGTCTTTGCACATCAGATGTGGTGTTGACTATTTTCATATTCAGTGTGCTCTCTTAGCAAATTAATCAGGACAATAAATGACTAATTTAGGCTACAAATTAAGCCAAGTTTATTTTCATTTTTTTTGTTAATGTTAATTGAAAGAAAACTGCACATCGCTTAATAGTGTCTTTTTTTTTTTAGGATAACTATAGTTTGCAAAAATACAGAAGGTCACTAGGTGGCAGCAGAATTAAGAGTCCTGTGTGCTTTTGCTACAAAATTGTAGTGTTGTGTATTTTTGCAATCCCAGTTAAAGTAGTTACCATAGTTAACATATTTTACTCTTTGATTATAATTAAGATTTTAAGTTTTTGCATACAGCTATATTATATATTTATTTTTTGCTTTTGTTATGCAAAGCATACAGGTGACTTTTTGAAATTAACTTGTATTGGTCTTACAGCATACATTCTGTCTGGGGCCAATGTGCCATTTATAGAAACTTGAAATGTTATTCCCTCAGGTGAAGGGGGTGTAAACCAAAGGTTCATCTACATATTACATATGTAACATGTATGACTCAGTGACTTAATCCTTTGCAGGTTCACTTGTACATATGTACTGTTTCTATGTGCAGTGATGTAACTATAGCTGTTGCATAGAACAAGAATTCAATAAAAGCATTATTTTGAAGGTTGTTTGTGGTCATTTCAAACAGAAATATACATGATTTAATGCATGAACTATGCTACCTTGCTGTAAATAATACAACAGGTATCTGCAAATATATTGCTAAGCTTCCAGAAGCAAGGCTACTCCTGCAAGCACCCACTTGGATGGCTTTTCTTTGGTTTTTAAGTTAAAAGTCCATGTGTAGGTGGGCCCTCTAAGTTTAGTTTTATAAACTGGACATTTGTAAATGTGCTTGGTTTCTTGCCTCTCTACCGGAATTGCTCTGGCAAAGATGACAGGCAGCATGGGAGTCAGGTTCTTCAAAGGAGCTTCAGCTACGACTCCTGCTTGAATGTCCCATCTTGCTCCTGAAACCAAGAAATACACATTTTAACTTCTGCAGGACAGAAGTGTGTAATTAGCTAGGTAGAATATTAATTACAATTTGCGTGCTTCGTTGTGCCTGAAATCCCATTGATATTCTGTATTCTTTTTATTAATAATGGGGCTTGCTGTTGAAAAAATAACATACATTTCAAAATTTGAGCAGCAAGCATAGAATACCCTCTTACTTTATTGTGCTTCATTTCACAGTATTATTAAATAGTGAACACCATTTTTTTAAAAATTTGCAGATAGTCTTTGATTAATGACAATTTGTTTAACAACAATGCAAAATAAGGATAGTGCTGAAAAAAGTGACATTATGATCCTCACACTTAAGACTTCCTTGCAAGTTACATGATCAAAATTAAAGTGCTTGGCAAACTGGCATGTATTTACAGTTGTTGCCTTGTCCCAGAGTCACATTATCATCATTTACAACCTTCCCAGGGGACTTCCAACAAGCAAAGTTAATGGGGGAAGCTGGATTTGCTTAACAGCATTGTGATCCGCTTAATGACCACAGCAAGTTACTTAATGATGCAGCAAAAAAGTTCATAAAGAATCAGGTTGGCTTAGTTAATTACTGCATCACTTAAATTGGGAAGTTCTGGCCTCTACTGTGATTCTATGTCCAGGACTGCTTGTAGTCAGAAAACTTGCTACACTTTTCACTGATTCTATAAAATATACTTCTTTTTGATATGTCTGACACTGATCATTTTTTTACAGGTGGGTCCTCTAACTAGATCATAGTTAATACAGAATTTTAATAAACTTACCTTCCATGTAAAGTCCAAAAATATATGCACCTTCTCTTGGTGGGTGACCATAATCTTCTCTACTCTTTTTGGTAACATCAGTAGTCAAGCACATCTTATCCAGAGACCAATTGTTTTTTCGTGCTGTAATTTGCATAATGGCTTTCAAGAAGATATGATAAATACAAATTATTTTACGGGTTGCATACTTATTACTATGGATTCGTTTCTCTCCCATTGTGTCCAATTCTTGAAAACTCCCTAGACAAATCTCTCTTTTTTGGCAGGGTGCTTTTTTGCTTCCTTCCTAGGGCTGAGAGAAAGCTCTAGGTAACTAGCTGCATGCTTAAGTGGAAATAGAACTCATGATCTCCCAATTTCTAGCCTGTGGCCTTAATACTGCACCAAACTTTCAATGCTATGTATAAAGTCATGTAAAGATGAGAAATGAGGAATTTTGTTCCTGAGGAAAAAATATTTAATCCAACTTTGTAGCAATAAATCTATATTAGTTATTAACAAAAAGTCAATTTCAATAAAATATATTTTTAAGACTGAAACAACTTCTGATACTTTTCTGTTTCCCTTTTTTTCTAAAAAAATTCGCTGATTCTATAGATGCAATTTGTATGACACCTAAGACATAATATGGCTTAGCGTCAAATGTCTATCCATGCCCTATTTGTACTTATGTTACTTTTCATAATTAGAAATCATACTAGTTTCCACTCATAAGAAAAGTGAGTACAAATCCGTTCAGCACATCAGTGTCTTATATCGTCTCTCAATTGGATTTCTATCACCTTACCTCTTGATAAGTTTTTTTTTAATGTTGTATTCATTCATACATTTGGTCATTCACTCAGTCAATTGATCCATATGGCTGCCTACTCACTACTTGACATAATTTGTGATGTTTGAACTTTGTGACACTTTAAGGAAACTAGCTATTAAAAAAAATCTTTGAAATTATTTTAAAACTGTAGCCTTATTATGCAGCATGTTTTGCTTGACATTTAAATATAACGAATCAATATTAACATACCAGTCAAAAAAGATTGTGGATTAAAGAAACCTGAAAGCCACACTACTGCAGGAAGCACAAGATCTTGTGTCCAGGTATCAAGTTCTCGGCATCTCAAAAGAAGGTCATTAAACCTGAATAAAAATATAGTAATGGTAAACATAAGAAATTAATTTTGGGAATAGTTTGCCTTATATAATTTATATCACTTTGACATCTGTATTCTTGGTTATTGGTAGTAGATCATACAAGTTGTATGGAGCAGCCTGTTGTATATGAATTATATTACCTTCTAATAAAAAAGAAAATATATGTTAAATTCAGAACAGATTAATACATGATCTAGGAGAAATTTTAGAAACTTCATCTTTTAAATTTTGAGACATCAAAATGTTATAAGACATGCAAAATCATACTAATATAGTTATGCTCATTTTAAGGTTCAAAAAGATTTTTGAAATGTAATGCTTTTTTTACTTTCAAAAATACAATTTATGATTTATAAGGTAACTAAAGAGATCCATTGGTTAAAGAAATGCATTTACCATTGTGCAAGACTGTAAGTAGATGGGTAAGCCAGACTGGTCCATGCATCTGGTACCTCGTCATAAAACAATGATGATTGTAAAGTTTCCATACTAGATGAAAATGTTAGTTCACCCTAGAAATTTGAACCAACACAAACATTTAAATTTACAATACTAGTTTAAGATCCAATTTTTCCTAATAGTACATGTATATAGAGAGTAGCCCATGATACGATAGGTGGCAATAAATTTAATAACAATAAAGTAATATATTCCTTACTTTTAATCCAAGGCCTAATTGTTTTAATGATCTCCGTATCTCTCTAATGAGAATATTTATTCTCTCACATTCTTGAAAACACACAAGAATATATGGGCTTCGTACAGCAGACTTTTGCATTATCTCAGCTAAATTAAATTCTTCTGGCAGCTTTTCCAAAATTTCATCCAGTACATTTTTCACCTTATAAAGTAAAGAAAAGTAAAATAACCAGGTATGCAATTTGTTTACATTTAATCATGCTCTATAAAGCAAACTCTGGTTGGAATAAGTGTTGAATATGCAGGAGAGTGCATTAAAAAAACCTCCACAAGGATATAGATACTGCTTGTCATTTGGGATAAGATGAAACAGAAAATGCATTTTGTTTCAACCTCAGATCAGAATATCACAATCCAGAAATTCTGCCAAACTGTTTGGAATTAACTGTAACTCAGCATAAAGAAAAACCAACATATTTTAGTTGTTCAAATGAAACAAAATTCGCGAGTGGGTTTTATGGGGCTATGAGGGTTAGTTGTGTGAACTGCCTTGTCACTCTTCCTTCCCTCAGCAGTTCCTGGTGCAGTCTACCTGATCTCTCAAAATCTTCCCTTTTCTACCTGAGCCATCATCAATTTCCATGACTTTTTTTTCCTGTCTCCATGCCGTCCCCCCTTCTGCTTCACTCCATATGGATAAAAATAATTGAAATAAATGTTTCAGTTTAGGCATGGACTAAAACTAATTCTGCCCTATTTGGAACAGTTAATGCAACTTTCACATGCCTACTTGTCAAACATTTATGTTCGGAAGGAACAAAGTTTTAATTCTGATTGCAGTAAAATTATGAATTACTCTGGTTCTGTGAAGGTGTTATGGAATAAACGCTAGCAGGATATCACAGTCTCACCTTTTCTTCTAATGACTGTCCTATAATTTCTCCAGCAAGCAGATTTCTGGGTTGCATTTCCAGCAAGGTTTTGAAGAGATTATCAGACAGAACTGTTAAGAAATCTGTCTCAGCATTAGGATGGAGACCATACAACGCAGGACTTTCAGGGGGCAACATTTCATCAATATACTTGTGGTAGCCAATATAATCCAGATTGGGAGGAGATGGGAAACCAGGAGCCAAAGCAAAATCGCCTTCAATCTGTGATTAGAAAAAGAGCATTTTTCAACTTCAGGCAAAATCTGTTCAATGCTTTGGCATACTGCCTGTGAAAGTGTAAAATTCTTATTTCTTATTGTAGTAGTTTTAATAGATTATTTTTCAAGTAGGAAGCCATCTCTCTTATCCAATACAAACAATTCTGGATGCAGTCTGGTTAAATAAGTTGCCTTTAAACAGTAAAAAGCCACAATAATTTTATACTCTTAGATAACATGAATGGATTGAGCCAAATAATATTCTGTCACAGGGAAATCATTAGGCATTAACAGATTTTAATGAGATATTTTTTCCACATTTCTCAGTCTTTAACATAACTTATGATTATACTACCATATTTTTTTTCTATACAGCTGCCCTAGGACACATTTTATCTATATAGCTTATATACCTTATTTAAATGCAAATTATTTCTACTGTTTTAAAACAGTATTTAGTAAAATAGTAAAATAACATTTAGATTTATGAGTTTATCTAACTTTGAGCAACAAATGCAGAAGACTATATCACAATTTGCCCACTTTATAAAAACACAATAAAAGTTATCTGATGGTTTTCTTCTATATCCTTGTTGATCTATTAATTAATTAATTAATTACCCCTACGTAATTAAAAAAGAAATAATTTTCTTTCCTTCAAGCATAAGAACAGCTCATCCTCTGCTTTACTATTGTAAATGGTATTTTAAGGCAAGCTGCCCCCATCTGCATATCGACTTTCAGTGAGAGATCTTGAGTAAGCAAAAGCTTT